GTAAATGATAAATACTTTTCTTATCTAGAGACTATTTGTCATTCCCAATTGCTATTATATTATCACTGGTAAATCATGACAGAATAACTCATTGCTTCTACAATTCAGAAACAAATCTTTCCTTKAAAAAGCATGTTTACTCACAAAATAAAGCTCACTCCTGAGCTAATCAAAAGCATGCAAGAAGCAGGWATTTGTATTGTAATAGGCYTTTTGCATGAAACAGCCACATGGTATAAAATCCGCCATACTAGATGRAAGAATACYYACTGGGATGTTCGAAACAATGTTCYTTTTGTTTTTGAAGTTGTTTACATTCTWTTGSCATCCAGTATGGCATATTTTGTACMATGTGATTGTTTCRTGCAAAAGGCCTATTCCCTGATAAACCATGACCTGCAATGCATCCTTTATCACTACTGTCGACTTACTTTTGCATTTGCGTATCCTAGTTTGATTGTGATATTTCTCTCGAGTTCATTTTTAAAACGGACAGTTTGTACACCTGATAAAGCCTTAACTACTGTGGATTTTCCATGGGCTACGTGACCAATTGTTCCTACAAACAAACAACAACAAACAACTCAGTATAAAATATTGAACAGTAAAATTTTGTTTAGTTTATACAATTAGGGAATATACTCTGACAAAGTTATGAACAATAGCTGACATAAGGAACTGCCAGCTTGTGCTAATGATGGATTTCTTTTCAAGAACAGAATATGTTTTCAAATCATAGGTATCCTCCCCCCCCCTGCCACTGATACATGATGTTGGCACTACTATGTAAAAGACAAACTAGCAGGGGGTAGCACTGAATTAGGGAATGGGGGTAGGAAGGGGGAGGGTGCTAAAGAAACAGGAAGAGAGTGCCTTGAGCCCATTGTACACAGAAAATAATAAAAATAATTTAGCTTTTTAAAGCTTTTAAAATGTCTTACCAATATTAATGGTTGCCTGTCGACTAATTACATCTGGAGTAAGTGGATTCAGYTCCTCAACATTCTAAAGACAAATGCAATCTGGGTTACCAAAGAATAACGATTCCCATCAACAATGAGATATTGTTTAGAAAGACTTATGCCCTGTTGATTTCTGTGATATAAGGTTGCTTTCAAAAATAGAAAATGTGTGCACAATGAAGACCGGAATTTTTTGGCAGAGTTTAGATGATCACTTATATTTTTTCCCAAAAATACCTTGTTATCAAGCCAACCACGCAATACATTTGACAAATCAATTATGTAAAATTATTTTTAATAATAACGTTGTTTCAAGTCTCAGTTGAGTCGTAGATCAGCTGACTACCAAGCTAAAGAACAGAATCACCTCATATTCCTTCACACTGATGCATTTATAGTGCAGAGAGGATTTTGTAAAACATGTCATTTTTGTGTCGTGACTATAGTGTCATAGCAGTGAAGTGTTCTTGAATAACTTAATTTCATTTGCTGTTGATAACAGGCAAGTTCCMTGACCGTGCTGTGATCCGTACTTTGGCACAGTCATATGAAATAGACTCTATTTTACATGAGCGTTCATATTTTATTTTTTTCTTTCACAAATGACATTTTTACATAAATGTCATTTTTGACCCAAAAGTCAAATATGGAATTCAAATCAGTTTGATGTTCAGTTGTATAACATTATAGTTAATTTGACATTCATTACCAAACATGTTTTATAGTGAACATTAAAGTTTTCGTCTTTAATCAACTAACTTAAGCTTGAGCTTACGTCAAAGATCAAAAATCGATCTTCGATCTATTACTTCGTAACGTACGGTACAAGATCGAGGGATTTATCTCAACACAGAAACGAAATCAAACTATCTCAACAGTCCAGTTTCATAAAGCAATAATTTGAATTCGTTACCATAAAATATTTTCACTATTCTCAGTCAAGTTATCGCGTTTCAAATAGACTTCGTTAGTTCACGTGGCCATATTTCCGGCGCCATATTTCATTTCAYAATTGAACTAAAAATCCCCAACTTACCAATGATGAGATATCTTGCTTCGATAAATGTGGTTGTCCTAACGGAGGAAGATCTAATGAACTATCAGACGCCATTTCTTTATCAGATTTCGGCAAATAACTTACCAAAATCGATTCAAATACCGGCAAAATTACAATCAAAATGGCGACCGAGTCGGCTGATGCAACTTGTGGAGGTGGYCTGGTGTCTAGTCTGAAAAAAAAAAGAGATCGTGGGAGGGGAGGGATAGGCGTGCACTATTCCCTGCTTCTGAAGATGGCGGAGTACTTCTCAGTATTGTTTCAATACCTAACCATTAGCAATGTCATTATCTCATTAATGTCTCTATATTTTCTATATTATGTGAARATTTTGTACGAGTTTCATGGAATGCCCCCTGGTCCAAGGATATCCTGCTTTCCGTTTGTAGGCAACATTATGAGCTTTGATCGCATCTTCGAGGATAACAACGATAGGTAAAGTATCTCTGCTAAAAACCTGTTTAAAAGTCTGTACGTTAAGTTTCACTGGTAGAGTGAACAGGAGTCGATTAATTGTCTTCGTAATAGTTCTCTAAGTGTCCACGCTTATGGACCCAGTAGGTCCAGTAGTACTATATGTGCTTTTGTATAAACAAGGGAGATATCCAAAAACTTTGAGTCATGTTTTTAAGTCTACATAACTATTTCATGAGCCAAGTGTTGTAACTCCAAAACGTATGCATGCACCGTATTTTCTGCAAGATTTGAGCTCGTGAAATACTATATATCTATTGAGCATTTGGACGCCTTCGGATGGCGTGACAAATCTATGAGCCCCCCTTGCGTGACCAGCCCAAATAACTTATTATATCAAAAGAAGGCTATTGTGAGGGAAAGTTGGTCATAAATGATCTCTAGCCAACGACTTTCGTAACTTTCGAGTATCGTGAAAGAACACCAAATTCCTCTATTCCCATGTTTTTGGTCTCACAACATTGTGACGCCACAAACTCATGACACGGAATCTGGATTTCGGATTCCAAGCTCCCGGATTCCGGATGCCATGAAATATKTCGTAAGGTTTCTGGATTTCCCCGTATCGGATTCAAACCACTGGTCTGTACCATTGGCGCGGATTCGATTCCGGATGATCTGCATTCTGGATCCCAGAACCAAAATTTCGGATTCCGGATACCATGTCATAGGGCGACTTTCTCCCCTAAAATTGAACTTCAGATAATCTAGTTTTCATGGTATGTATCATTTATTAAGAGTCCCTCTCTTTTCTAGTTTCCACCGAAAGTAYGGTCGTTTGTATTCACTAAAGATTGGTGACTACAAAATTGTGGTTGCTACTTCCGGTGAAGCCATTTACGAAGCTTTGGTGAAGAAATCATTGGATTTCAGTGGGAGACCTCCTCTTCATGGTCTTATGGTTCAAACGTTAGGTACTTATCTCTTCTTTATTTAGATATAAGTATTTATGCGCACCAAAATGCACAGGAAGTCCAAAGAGATTTGCACTCCGCCGCAGCTTATGCGCGCGCACTTGAGGTGCAAAGTGCCCTCGACCTTAATTCTGTATATAACTGAAATTCCATCAAAGAGGGTTCAATTTTAACTATATTTATGTCGGCAACACAAGCTTTGAAATTTTATATTCATTGTTGTGACAAACCAAAGYGGAGATGGAAAATTAATGCACCCATTTGAAAATTAATAAAGGGAAAATGATGCTTCTTAGAAGTAGTGAAGAAACTCGTTTCCCAAAGGAAAATGTTCTTTATGCCGGATTGCATTGCTTAATTCAGTTTGTCCTTTTCATGTTTTCTGCGCGCCATCTCTACTTTCGCCTCGTCAGTGAAATAGGTAAAATGTCRCAGCTCACTTTTCATTAAACGAAACTTAATTCACCTTATTTTCTTTTAATGTAAATTTTCTACACTTAGGTGGCAAAGATATTGCATTTGGAAGCGGCGGGCAAGCTTGGAAGTACCACCGTAAACTATTCACAACAGCATTACGCCAGTATCTAACCGACGTGTCAGTTCTGGATTCYCGCATAAACCAGCAGTCAAAAAAACTCTTTGAATACATCGCAGAACAAGATTCCAAACCATTTGACCCCGAGATCATCGTTGCTACATGCCTTGGAGATGTWATCTGTAGCTATGTCTTTGGAAAATACTTCAACTCCTCTCGACCAGAGTTTGTTGAGTTCCTTGGTGTTCTTGATGATGCTTTGGCTCTGGAACTCGATGCTGATATGTTTCTCTTTGATATGTTCTCCATTGCGAAATATTTCCCTTTGGACACTTACAAGAGAAACGAAAAGATCACAAACCGCATGTTTGCTGTTCTGAAGCAAGTCTTTGAAAACTGCCAAAAGGATTCCAACGGTCAAGACGATTTACCCGTCACAGATTTCATGGCTGCGTTGCTCAAAGCACAGCGTGAWGCTAATAAGCAGGGTGATGAGCAGTTGATAGAATTCTTACACGAAGACTACGTTTTGAATAGTCTTTTAGACATGTTTAGTGCAGCTTATGAAACCACGACGACAACCTTTAAATGGGCCATTTTGTTTCTGGTCAATTTTCCCCAATATCAGGTGGAGCTTCAAGATGCTTTGGACAAGGTAAGAATTGCACTGTGGACCATTAGTATGAAAAAAAAAACAACCAAACACGACCGCACTGAATGTCGGTTACTTCTGCCCCTTTAAGCCCGAGAAAAATTTTTATGTCAGCTTGTAACACCTCATGTGAATTTGTTGAAGGTTGTTGGACAAGACAGATTGCCTAGCCTTGATGACCGTCCAAACCTCAAAATTTTCCGTGCATTTATAATGGAAACGTTGCGTATTGGTAACACTTCYCCCCAGACCATCCCCCACTATACTATCAAAGACACCACCTTGTGCGGCTATCGAATCCCTAAAGACACCATGCTCCTGATCAGCCTAGAGTCTTTACACAGGGATCCTGAAATCTGGGAAAATCCTGACGTCTTCTACCCACATCGCCACCTTGATTCTAATGGAGAAATCATTGAAAGTCATGGAATTCTTCTTCCCTTTGGTGCTGGGCAGCGGGTTTGTGCTGGAAAAGCTTTTGCAAATGCTTTGCTGTTTGCTTTCTTGGCCCGCATGTTACAGAAGTATAATTTTGTTGCAGAAGAAGGGAAGCCTCCGCCTTCGATTCAAGCTGCACGGGGAGCTGTGCTTAGTCCATTACCTTACAAGATACGTGCAGTGCTTAGAGAGAATAAAAATATGTAATGGACTGGGRAAAAAAKCCTCCTACGAAAGTGGTCACAAAAATAGCCTAAGAAAAGTCTTGTTCGCAAGAAAGCAAAAAAATATTTCTTTACATAAACGAATGCATTTATTTCTAGTGTCAATAAAGATTACAATTATAGTTTTGGAAGTAGAAAWTATACAAATTTTAGTATTTTTAAACAAAAACATATATATAGACGACGAAGTGAACATGTTTTATAGTTAGCTCCATATTCACAAGTATACATTAATCAACAAATATTAAAATTATCCTCTRCAACGTCATCCATTTTAAATTTTATGATCACCAACTTAATCGTAAGAGGAAGTAGCTGATCCCATTAAAGAGTGCTCAATACACATGTAGTGTAGAGCTAGTTATATATATTATCAAAGAGGCAAGATTTTGCTGTTACTCCTCATTAAATACTCGTCTGATGAGTCTGAAATCTTGCCTCTTTGATATTATATATGATTACCAACTTATTTATCAAAATAACGAAACATTCAAATAGAGCRAATAAACGTATGTAGAAGTTCTACACCAAACCAATATATAATTTGCCCCGTGGCTTCTCGACCAGAATATCGAAAGTGGGATATTTGTGGGATGTTTGCGTGTTCGATATGATTATTAGAAGCTTACATGGAATACTAATATGTTGGTGCGATCTATCAACTAGTGACTCGCATTCTTACTATAAATTGCAGAAGAAAAAAGCTTCAATCATAAGGTTAGAAAAGAAGTTTGCTAAAAGTTGCTAAAAGAAATTTTTTATCRTTAATWWCATYGAATTGCTGTACTTCCCATGCATCTTTTCGGTCTCTGCTTCTATTTTCAATAACTTGGATCACACCACCGATTATTCAATTCAGTGTRGGTGCTTTGGTACATAAAAGTAGCTACCAGGAGTGTGCCTGTAAAAATGAAGCCTCAAAGCGTTGCTGTGTGTAAAAGCCTCACTACAAACTGTGCACCTAAATGGTTTCTCCCCAGTGTGTTTATACGTATGAGACTTCAACGACGTCTCGTGAAAGAAAGCTTCTCCACAAATTGTACATTTAAATGGTTTCTCTCYAATGTGCTTGTATTGATGAAACCTAAACAGTTTATTGTCCGTGTATGATTTGCCACAAATGGTGCACTTAAATGGTTTCTCTCCGATGTGCTTTTACAAATGTTCGTTAAAAAAGCTAGTCCTTTTGAGGGAAAGAAGCGCTGCAAATAGTACATTTAAACGAGTACTTCTTGATACAATGTGCGCTGGAATCTATGCACTTGAATGATTTCTCTCCAGTGTGTCTGTACAAATGATGCTTCAAGGTTTTCATGGTCGTGAAACCTGCACCACAAACAGTGCAATGAAATGGCTTCTTGGCGTGCTTTTTGGAATGTATGATCAAGTGGTATTCCAGAAGAAAGGACCTACTACAGACTGTGCACTTAAATGGGAAATCTCCTCCATGCGTATAAAGATAATGACGCTTCAAATTCGCGTTGAATTCAAATTCTGCGCTACAGTGTAAACACTTAAATGGTTTCTCCTTATGCTTCCCGCGACAATGCCTATATAAATTGCAGTCTTTCAGGAAAACCATTTTGCAAGTCGGGCACTTCACTCCTGTGTTTTTAGCATGCGGTCCGCAATAGTTTCCATGATCCTCCAGACCTAATCTAGTTTTGAATTCCCGAGTACAAATTTCACATTTGAAGTCGCATTCTAAGTCAGTGTGTTCTATTTCACAGTGTTGTTCTAAAGAGTCAATATTTGCGAAACTTTCTAAGCAATTCTCGCAATTATACACATACTGTGGTTGGATTTTGGTGTGTTTTTGGCTATGGTCCTTCAGGTCGTCTTCGCTGTCATACCTCTGGTGACAGATTTTGCATTCAAAAGGCTTGTTGTTGGAGCATTCTTGATGGTGACTATCCAAAATGCTCACATCTGAGAACACTCGATTACACTTCGTACACAAAAACGACTTTCCAACGTGTCTTCTATAATGGCAAGCCAGGTCATGGTTGGTCGTAAAATACATGCCACAGATTCCGCACTTGTAAACTACTCTGACATTCTTCACTTGGCTTGGTCTAGTCACTTGGGACGATGCAGTGGTAGTCAGTCTAACTGGAATGGCACTTTGAAGGTGTATTTCACGCTGTTTTTGCAAGCCAGAGGGAACATGTGAATGTAAAACATGTTCAGAATCTTGGCAGTCATTCTGTTCTTTGGAGTTTTCTTTGCAGTAGATTTTTTCTTGCTTGCTGTCACTTTGTTGTTGGTATTCATTAATGCCACATTGTTGTCGTTGTTCCCTGCTGTAGAATTGTTGTTTAGTGTTGTCGCCACCTTGTCGCTGTTGTTCTTTTATACTGTAAATAAGTTGTTTTATGCAGTCACTTTGTTGTTGCTGTTTATTRATGTCGCCTTGTCGTTGGTTTTCACTGCTGTTGAATTGTTGTTGTGTGTTGTGACCATGTTGTTGTTGTTTCTTATYGTAACCATGTTGTTCTACATGTCTGAAGTCGCTTTGTCGATGTATGTCACCGTGTTGTTTTCGTGTGTTGTCACCACGTTGTTCTTGTCCTATGCAGTCACTTTGTCGWTGTTGTTTTTTGCTCWCACTTTGTAGATAATATTGCTCTTGTTCTTTACTGTACATTTGGCTGCCATGTTGTCTATTTACTGACTTATTTCTAGTTTCACGCTTGTGGTTTATCTGTTGATGATACTCCAATTCCTCCTTCGTGCTAAACCACATGCTACARGCAGTGCAGTATGGAAGTAAAGACTTCAGGCCCTCAGTACTGTTCAAATGACTTGTACTCGRTGTTTCTCGATTGGGTGAAAGGTGCTGTGAATCTTTGCTTTTCTGTAAATTCTGGATACATGTAGCTTGCTCTTTCTTGTGCACTTTGTCATTGTGACTATCCAAGTAAGTCCTCCTGCTAAACCACTTGTTACAGTCAATACAATGAAAGCCATCAACCTTTGAATGACTAGTTCTGTGAGCTTGTTTTGGATTTGTATCATTACATTTGTAGAMTTTTGGACCTTTTCTGTGTACTCTATAATGACGTTGAAGTGCACAGTTGTTTGAAAATCTCTCATCACAAAGATGGCATTTAAAATTGTTTTCACTCGTAACGTAATGATATTTTGGYGTCTGGGCTTCCTTRTAACTTCGGAATTCATATTTTAACTCTTCTGTGCTCTGGGATTTACTAGCCATGCTTTCACCTTTTTGTTTGTTAGATTCCTCAAWTTTGTGGGTATTTCGGTGAATATTTAAACTACGTTTATCAATAAACATTTTGTCRCAATCTTGACATTTATAAAGGCTTTCCATGGAGGCTGTTCCTAAATTGTGCATAGCACTTTTTCCACCAGATTTCACCCATTTATGCCACTTATAGTGGAACCTTAAACTTGTTGTTGTTAAAAATGTCTTGTCACAGTCTTGACACTTGAAAGGTCCCCCTTTGTCAAATTCCTCCATTCCATGCCATCTTTTATGCATGTTCAAACTTGATTTCTTAATAAATGATAGGCCACATTCTTGACAYTCAAAAGTTCTAGCCTCCTTGTGTACTATTTGATTGTGGTTCTTCAAGTCATCCGGTGAATCAAAACATTTGTTACACTGCACACAAACGGAACCTCTGAAGTTACTATCAGAAACTTGTGTTTTCTGTGTAGAATTACATGTAACTTCAACAGATAAATTATTGCTGGTTTGCATGTGACAGTTGATTGTACATTTGTCTTCATGTTCTTGTTTAATGGTGTCAATCAAATTGTCACTGCATTCATTTCTCTGCTGTCTGTTCTCATCCACAAGTAGTTGTCCAATAGCTCCTAAATTGCTGACCAATGATTGGTTCCTGAACCCTGTAGTACTTCCTATAAAGTTGTTATTGCACTGTTGATCCATTAAACCACATCTAGATATTTCTTTCTTAATGTYCCCAAGGTCAGTCATGCTTGTATTGCAMCTTTGTTCAAAGWATCCATYCTCATGTTTGGGTGACATGTTTGGGTTTCCTGTGTCATGTGTAGATGGCACAGAACATAAATCTGACACAAGAGAAGAAAGSGAAAAAAGTTGTTCGCTACTATAAGCACAAGTACTGTACTTTGTATCCATAATGTCACAGTTACARTAGCTTGACTTCTGAGCTWTKATKMACGTGCAAAAAGTGGCTTTTTGATATTTCTAAGGAAAAATACAACAACAGTTTTTGATTAGAGTATTTTTTTTAAATGCTAAAAGCTGAATATTAATTAGTAAATAAATTATTAATAATAGATTATAATCCCTCCCATAATTAGAGAAATCTACCAGGGAGTAAAATTTCTAAGTTCTAAGTTTATTTGCACATTAAAAGAGATGTCAAAGTTACAGMCTATGTGTAAAAAATATTTGGTGAAAAAGGAAATACATAATTCTAAAATTATGCGGGGGGGGGGGGGGGGGGATGATTTTGAAAAAAAAATCCTGCAAGCCATCTTCACCAAAAATAAAAATCGTGAACAACATATGGGCCTAAAAAAAAAATCTTGCACCACCCTAAGCCCCCAATGTTACATACAAGAAAAAAAAAATCCTACACACCACCAAGAGAAAAAATATATATTTTACCCAAAAGCCACGAAGGAAAAAAAAACTTGCTCACAAGAAATCATCCCCCCCCCAGACAACCATTTTCTGTAAAATCTCACATATTCAAAATGCTCAATTTCTCTTTAAAATAGAAGTATTCGTCCTTAAGTAAAACATAATTCTTGCTTTTGTGTGAGTTTGTTTGTTTTTCACTATTTTTGCCTGTATCAGGTGTTTATGCAAATTTAGCAAAAAGTAAACATTGTGTCCACTATTACTTTAGCTTGCATGTTATAAGTTTGCGACAATCATAAGTTAGGAAATGTGGATAAAGTGTTTTAATCCAATTTGTATGGATCGCATTCGCTGAATAATCATTTATCTTGTTTATAGGGCTATTCACCTTTCGCACAAGATCATTTAATTATTGAGAAAGTGCGCCGAAGAGTCAGGAAGTGGACGCCTGACTCCCTTAACTCTCTCGTGTTATTGCCCAAACTCGAATTTGTCTTGTAAAAAAAACATCAAAACTATTTCTGCTAGCTGTTAAAAGAATGCTTGTATATTTCTCACCTAAAAGTAGAGCTTGAATCCTCCAATAACTTAATCATAACGCTCCAAAGTCCGTTAGCGGCTCTCACAGCTGGCCTGCATCAACCCAAGCTTTCTCGTTACACAGGTAGCCCGAATCATTTAACTTCCGAATGGTAAATATATGTGAATTATTTTAGTTCATTCATTTATTTTCCCGAAAATTATAGTGTTAAAAATATAGAAGGAATAAACGAGTTATTTTTGGGATGCTTTCTAAATATTTGGTACTCAAAAAGACAAAATATAGAATCCCTGCWTCACACTACCTTGCCGGAGGGTCTCAATGGGGTTAAGCGTGAGCCGTGAAACGTCTGAAAAATTAGCCGTTAGTCGTGAAAATGCGAAAAAATTAGCCGTGAGGCGTGAATATTATTTTATTGCGTGAGCCGTGATTCAGTTTTGTCCCTCAGAAGGACAGTCAACTCCGATGCAGGCGCGCGCTTGTAATTTTTTTTGTATTTTTTTTTGTACATGCTCTATTCGCAGAGTAGCTCATTTAGTGCATCGAAGACCTTAATTGAGCGGGAGACTGCGTCACGCTAAGTGTGGCAAGAAACTAAAGCTGCTCGAAATAGAACGTTACAATATTGAATCGACATCTTTTTTTAGATTGCTAATAAAGTTATAAAAGATTTGTTAATTCTTAGATAGTATTTTTAGGATTTGTTTTGTACATTTTAAAACTCCCGCTCATTTAGCGCATCGATCGAAGACCTTAATTGAGCGCCGGAGCCTTCGTCACGCTAAGTGCGACAAGAAGCCAAAGCTGCTCGAAATAGAACGTTATTATATGAATCGACATCTTTTTTTAGATTGCTAATAAAGATATAAAAGAATTTTTTTGCCAAAACAAAACTAGCACTCATTTAGTATGTTAGTACATCGAGACTTTGAGCGGGAGCCGATCATATATCCACTTCGTAAAAAAAAGACGGTTCTCGGGAAAGTGAAACACAAGAGATGACAATAATTATGCAAAAAATAAATAAATAAATAAATAAATAAAAAGGTAAACAATAAATAAAATAAAAAGAAAAAAAACAAAATCATTAAACGTCTCCTCCAGGGAATCGATCCCGCTACCGTCAAACCTACATTGGATTTGCAAGCTCCGCCTTAACGCGGTGCGCCACTGGATCACTCTCATTTACATAATAATAGACCACTTGACACTTTCACCGAATAGACTACCCCAATTTGACATTATACTTTCGATAGTTGCCTAGTTAGTGCAAGGGGTTATCCATCAGTGTCTAGGGGCCGGATAGCTTCTCCCTCACTGGCTTTTTAGTTAGCGCGAAGTTAGGACCAATTATCGGGATAGCATGGAAGAGCCGAAATCTCTAACCGGAATGTAAATCGATTCGCCGCCTCAGCTTCACAGAATGTCTCGGGGGAATCGTCCCAACCTTTTTTCGATTTTATGGTCATGGGTTCGAATCCCAACACTCAAGTTTTTGGATTTTTTTGTGCATTATGAATTTATGATTAATGATTTTTTTTCTCGGAAATAGTCGCATCTCGGCTCATTTGAAATAGAAAAATCCATGTCCGTACGAATAAGTCACGCAGTCTATTCATACGAAAAAAGAAAAAGCAATGGAAAACGTAATTCAAAAATTTCTAAAAGTAATCTGTAGTTAACCGTGATTCGCAAAAATTAGTCGTGAGTCGTGAAATCGCCAAATTTCTAGCCGTGAGTCGTAATGCGTACCACCCAATTGAGACCCTCTTGCTTTGTTTTTCTAAAGTTTTGTCAAAATGTGTGTGATTTATAATGTCTCCAAATATGAAGTTTTGCTCAAATGAGATTTTAGATGTTTTAAATACTCAGAAACCTTCTACTAGATCAATAATAAAAGGACTGATTATATGGTAAAATCCTATTCTTATTTCAGCCTGGCTCCTAAATAAAAAGAGATGTTCAGCAATGGTTKATTTTAGGGCAACTGCATTCTTGTTTGCAATCACTTGATAAGTAGGAAAAAATACCTCCTCTCGCGCAATTTCTTGATGCTGAAAATGACAACACACATATCCTTTGGCAGTATTCAAACTACATCTGTGAAGTTTAGAGTTAAAAAAAAAGTCTTGTCACTGATAAACAAACAGACTTTATTTACAATTGAATATGCGTCAAAAGTTGGTAAAGACTCATATGCGGCAGCCATATTGAAATACGATTCATGTCTGTGCAAGCCGATGTTTATACTTTTATTTTATATATATAAAAGAAAAACGTTCAAAAGTACATTCTGGACAATCTAAGAGTCGTTCACGGTTTCATTCTGCAACACGCGAGGGAACATTTGTTTATAGAATGCGGCAGCTCTTTGTTTGAATGGACGAGAGTTCATCGAGCTGAAGAGAAATTATTCCCGTTTGTTCATTTATCTTTCCGCTCCCTTTCACTAACTAAATTGAAATGAGACTGTATTTCTTTATAAGGTGTTTTATTACAAATCAAGAGTTTTTATATATTTCACAGGGTTCAGATTTTGTTACACTTGTATAGAAAAAAGAGTTGAGGTTTACAATAATTACAGTTCCAGATTTTGTTTATATACTGAGTAGAAAATGAAGACTATTTACAAAAAAAAAAACGGCACAAAAAACCGACATGCAATTGGCGGACACTGATTTTTTGGATGATCGACACATTATTCTCACTATTCTTTCAAATTAAAAACCTAAATGCCTAAATTCAATTATTAATTTAATAACTAGACTCCCATTTGTCATTCTCTCGTTCACTCAATTTGTCTTTTTTATGCATTTTCTTATTTTTTTTGTGATTTTGTAAATACTTTTGCTGGTTTATCTTTTCTTTTGATATTTTTTTATGCGAGTTTTTTGATTTTTTTTGGTAATTTTTGTAGTGTCCGCCGTGCATAGTTTTCTGTTACCGTTTCAAACGAGGATTTTTCCTCTAGAGAAGGAATCCCTTCTTAAAGCCGCAGTAGGTCTGCTTGGCTGGTTTGTCAGCTGGCTTCAGTCTTTGCTACCGCTGGCTTTATCACTGGCTTTTCCCCAGTCTTCTTTGGTGGCTTCTCCGCTTCCTTTGGCGGTGGAGGAGCTGAGGATGTAGACGCCTGGGCTGCTGGTGGCTGGCGTTGACTTTCACCTTTAGCGCATCCTTCTTCCCAGCTTTCATCATCTGATGAATCAATTTCGGGATCAGACGGCTGAAAGAAAAGTACAAAATCATTAAAAAAACTGCATGGAAAATGAAATTTCTTTTTAAAATGTGCTTACCTTGGTGAAGTATTTCCATGCCATATATCCAGTAACCCCTGCGACGACTGCAGTGGCACCCAAAACGGTAGCTTTGAATAGCCAACCCATGGTTAAGTTATGTCAATGAGGCACTCAAATTTGATCTCCTTGGAGCTCAACAAGTTTACCACCTGTACAACTCAAAGACTTGTAACAAGTGATAATGAACCTATTTACGTCACGGCTTATATACTAATCAGTAAGACTTAATTGGTTAATTGATTAATTGGTCCTGACGTCACGGTTTCCAGAAAGTTCTAGAATTTTGATGACGTTATCAATTCAATCATTTAATTAACAGCGTATTGTGTCGTAATTAATTAGAGCGCAATAAACACACTCGAAAAGAATTGTGGTATATTTGAAATGAAAGTCAAATAAAAACTGAGGGGGGAGGGGACTGCAAGCATCATCACAACTTGAATTCAAAGTCATTCCATTGCAGATTTCTTTTTAGGAACATCAAACGCTAATTTTGCAGTCCTTGTTTCAGATGGCTATTATAAATAAACCTCTCTATAGAGAGGTTTAGCATGACGTTCACGGCAAACGGCAGAAAAGATCACGTGATCTGCTTTTTTGAGTTTAACATTGCAGTTTCAACGCGAGAGCGGGTTATTTTGAGGTTTCCATAATCGTGAAAAGCCGCTCTTTCAAATKACTACCAAAAGCACAAGGTCGGGCATGAAATTCTCAGGTCATTGGTTTAGCTCTGCCGCGTTAGCCGTTTGCCGTAAACGTAATGTTTAAACTCTCTAATCTCTGGATGCTCCTTCAAACAATGATATTTGAAAGATCTCTTCTCGCTGTAGCATTTCCGCACATCATGGCACATTTGTATATGTTTTCTTGCCGTCGTGTATCTCATTATAATGAATCAGCAAATTTTCCTTTCTTACAAAGACCATCCGACAAACAGGGCACTTGTATTCAGTTTTCTCAATGATTTTTTTAAATCAAATTTAATTAAAAACGTCTCCTCGCAACTTGCGTAAGCCGGATATATATCTTTTGAAATTCTTGCATTATCTTCTCCGGTATGCATACAAACCACTCCTTGCAACAAACTGTTTACTGCAAATTGTACATTGAAATGGTTTTTATACGAATGCATCTTCAAGGAGTAAACGCCATTAAAGGATTTTCCACAGTGCATTTTACTCCCATCACATTTCACTGGTTTCTCATTGCATTCTATCGGTTTCTCGTCACATTCTGCAGGTTTCTCATTGCATTCCGATGGTTTTACATTTGATTCTAATGATTTTCTTGCGTTCCAATGGTTTCTCACTGCATTCCGAAGGTTTCTCGTTTGATTCAAATATTTTCACATTGCATTCCAATGGTTTTTCGTGGCATACCAATGGTTTCCCACTGCATTCCAACGGATTTTCGTGTAATTCAAATGGTTTCACATTGCATTCCAATGGTTTTTCGTGGCACTCCAATGGTTTCACATTGCGTTCCAATGATTTTTCGTGGCACTCCAATGGTTTCACATTGCGTTCCAATGATTTTTCGTGGCACTCCAATGGTTTCACATTGCATTCCAACGGTTTTTCGTGGCACTCCAATGGTTTCACA